AACTTGTTTGTCGTGCGTTATTTGTAAAATGGCAGGAAAGTCGTCGTTGCCGTTGGAAACGATCGATTAGGTCTGGCGAACGTATCGGAATCTATCTCGTAACGTTTGGCTAATTGAAAAGACGGAATGCGTAGGAGTATATTAAGTTGTATCGCGTTGCGCAAGATAGGGTGGCAGGAAATGGACTATAAATTAAGTACACGTGAAATAACAACATTTCTTTCTCCTGTCACTGATATGAATTCACGTACACGATTTTTTTAGTTGTCAGCTATAATTATTATTATAAAAATATTTTCTTCTTCGTCGTTCATTGACGTCCAACGATTTATTTATAGTTATGTTATTTTTGTATGCGAATAAATGCAATTTAAAATTTCGATGAAATGCGTGTTTTATTGAGGAAATATGCTTCCTTCCATAATCCGATTAAAAAGTTCGCAAGTATATTTACTAAGTACGAGATGAGCACGCGATAAAACTCGTCAGGATAAAACTCAGTCGGTCGATTTGGAACTTGTCGAAAGCGAGATCCGTTCATCCCGCGCTCCCTTTAAGCTACTTATTCCACGGCTTAAACTCGTTCGCGGTTGCTCGCCCGACGGCGAAATCCGAGACAGGTTCTCAATTTAAGATGGATCAATCCGTCCTGGACGGATAATCTTCTCGTGGAAGGAACTTGAATTAAAAAGACGAATGAGTCGAGGAACGAAGCAGGATCGTTTCCATTTTACATGCTGACAATTATAGAACATATATATGGACTGCAATTATCGATTCACGTCTTGCTCTCTTCATTCATGACGAAATAATCACTTTATATTTCAGAATTAAAAAATTAAGTCCCGCTAAATATTTAATAATGTTAGATAAAGCAATTGCCGTAAGCGATTTGTCTCTTTTTTTTATTTTTACACTGAAAAAAAATATTTTAAATTTAAATAAATATTTATTTGAATAATGCCAACTAAATATTTATTAAATATAAAGATATATTAAATATAAAGGTATATTTATTTGGTACAAAAAACATTAATTTTATTCAACATTTATTTTTTTTTATTAAGTAAATATTTATTTATCGTAATTAAATATTTAATTGGCATTCAAATAAATATTTAAATTTAGGACTTTTTTTATCCACAATATTGTATATTTTTAAATATATTTTATTTTTATTTATTCTGTATATATTTATTATATTGTATTATATACTTATTTATTTAAATATAAATTTTAAATATGTTAATAAAACTATTTATATACACATTCCCAGCATAGAGATAGTTTCATCGAATTCTTTCATGTCTCGGTAGATTTTTATACAAATCCGAATAGAAGTGATAGTGAAGAATCGTTAAATGCGAGTATATTGAATTGTTGTATGACGTTGTATACGGATTTAAATACACTGCGCTTTTCTTGAACATTTATATCAATAACACGCATCACCTGTCATATATACTCATTCATATCACACATCCACGCATGTTAGCTTAACCAGTTCCTTTGACTCGATCTTTAGGTACTTAAACAGAAAACATCGAATATTCTGTCGTTCCGTTAACACGAATTATTTCCGTATTATAATCTTACTTTTACAATATATTTCAATGATAAGAGATATATTTTTTTCCATTTACAAATTGTGTTTTACGGAAAAATATACTGTGGACGCGAACTATAAACAGTTAATCCTGCAAATTAAATAAAAAGAAATAAGAATTCGCGCGAGAAACTTGTTTTCTTACTTCCTTCTTGAAGCCATGGACGAACGGAAAGGGATGGCTCCCTTCCTCTCCTGGTACTCGTTTTCTCTCTCTTCATTCCTACGACTTGGACGACCAACAGAAAGAGATTAAGAGAATACGAGGGATTGTTTTTTGCCCGCCTCGTTCTGATCATGGAGGACTAGACAAAAGAGAATAGCAGAGAAGCCCTCTAGGGGCTTTTTTTACTCGTCTCATTCGATCACGGGAACGAAAGAGTTCAACTCGGAGCATTTTCTTTGTTATGCAAGAAATTATTTATTATCAATTATTTATTGCGTTGCTTGAAGAAGAGCGAGATACAATATAAAAATACGCTTCTGAAAAATCTCGTTTCTTAACAACTATAACAATAGCAACAACAGATATACTTTCTAATTAAAAAAGAAGTCTAGTAAATTTAACAGACTGACTTTCATCTGGATAACATATGTTATAATTTTATATCGTATACTCAATGTAAAACTAAGTCTTTTATTTCTTGTCATCGTTCCATTTTATATTTTGACTTATTACATTTGGAATAACGAATTGTGAGAGTATCTGTAGAGATGGAAGTTAGTCACTTAGGCAACAACGAAGAGACGAAATTTCGGCAATTCTCAATCAGACAGTAGGGATAAGCTCATCCTCAATCTCACATAGAGTTTAATTCCAACATCGTCGCAATATTTTGTCAAGACTTTTAATACCTATGAATTTGCTGAAGATGGTTTGAAGAAAATCGAAATGTTCAAATAAGATAGGACCGACAATAATTACTAAAAATACATTTATATATTATGTAAACATTATTAGATAATTCTATTATATTGCGCACCAATTTCCGCGCAGTTTTGATGCTCTCATTGCCCGATATATTTTATTACAGTTCTTAATTTCGAGTGCCCGAGTAATATTTAAATTTTACAAATTTAATAGAACTATTTTTACGTTCATATACGATATCGCGGAAGAAAAAAATCATTTGAAAACGCAAGTGAATTGTACATATGATGAGATCTCTTCAAGGTTACCTTTTTCTCTTTCTGTTACATCTTGATTATTGTCGAAACTCACGGTGACGCGTCTGAAGGTGCGAAGTGAAAGGGAACTTGAATTTTCGAAGATCACTATGGAGGCATTTCTTAGTGAGAGAGGCAGTCGCTATTTTTCAGGAATGAGTCGACCGAATATATCAATCTGTATACACGTCCAACCATATATTCCAACGAAAAATGGAAAGGAGACGAAGCGAGAAAGATGAAAAAAAGAAAAAAAAAGAAAGGAGAAAACAGCGGCCGCTTGTTTGGTGAACGGACTCGCGAGAAGGAGTCTCATTCGAAATGGCAGGAATTCGGCGGGAGAGTGTACGGGCAGCGCGCTCTCTTCGTAATAACGGAGTGAACGAAAAAAAATAAACGGACGCGAAGAAGTGGCGCGGTTTTTCTTTCGTGGCATCCAAGGTCTCTCCCGCGTGCATATCTCACGCCGATTAATTGCGGTTGATTTTTATTTATTATAAAAGTGCAAGGTGTGCGTGCGTGGTTAATGGTTATTGGCTCGCCAATATTCCGCGTGCGGAGAACGGCGCGCCGGCGCGCGTAACTCGCACATATGCGCGAGATGATAGTCTTCGTCATAATAATAAATTCTGTATAGCAACGTGACTTATCCGCACTAGCTCGCGGCTAAGTGCGCGCAATGATTGTTAATTGTCGACGCTGATACATGCGCCAGATAGCGCTCCGCTCCTCGAGCATTATATACACGTACTTCCATTCCAATTCTTTCTGTGACGTCTACGCTACCGTCAGTGTAAACAATCTGCCATAATTTGATAATAATAAAAATTTAATAAAAAGAAAAGTTATTGATCGAGATGGTTTTTTTCATGTACAGACGTCATTGGCTTTATCAGATCGCCCATGATTTATCCGTATAACTTCTGGAAAAAAATAGTCTTATTGTTGGCTGGCACTGAGTAAATATTGATTTAATCTCGATTGATGTAATCTAGTTACGATTAATTTTCAAGAATAAATTTTCAAGAATAAATTGGATGAATTACATCTGTAAGTTTCCGACTTTCGAGTACTTAGTTCCTTTGCGAAGGGAATAGAAATGCGCAACTCGTAAAAGTTCGCAATTATTATTCTTGTTTCGATCGTATACTCGTAAATACGTACGCTAACGAAGCACTGACTCCTTTACGTTCATTTGTGAGCCTGTAACAAGCTCCGAAGTTGACATTTAGCTTATTCTTCCAATTTTTTCGTTATGATCTTTGTCGCGTCTTCGAGTCCTCTCGTTTTAATATATTATCACTTTGAATATCTCCAGGCAATCTTGACAGAAGGAAAGTATGCGCGTATCCGGCAATCACGCCTTTTTCTCCCAATGTCTTTCGCAACGTTACAAACAAACGTGATTCATTCTCATTAATCTTTTTTACTTACTGTTATCTTTATAGCACCAACCAACGACACGATATTAATCAGTTTATGCCGCAATATAATGTATTCATAATCTCATGTGCGAATGCACATAGCAATATATATTTTTTGACATACTTCGTGAAAATACCGGAGATACCTGTTCATGAAAAACATTAACATCGAAGTTCCCACTGCAGTATTTCGTGTCCGCACATTTCGTTTGTAACGTTGCGGTCGCATCTGCCGTGCGGATAGGACAAACCGCAAGAAGCATTGTGAGTCAATAATCAGAGAAAGGATGAATTACAACCTGTCTCGAATACAATGTTATTCGATGACTGTGACACGGACAGGACAGATTTAATTATATATGAAATATGCGCGTGGGATTTGCGACGTAAACATATACCTAATACTCGGTCGCATACGATTATTCAAGAAATATTCGCGAACACGATTAAAATCAAACTATGAGATGATATACGAAAATTTTTGCTCCCATTATATATTATTCGCATATATACGCTGATCCATTTCGTTACATAAGGATTTTTGTTTATGCATCATTTCGATTAAAGTTTTCAACCAAGTTAATAATCCGTTTAGCATTACGATATAAATATTTAATGATTTCGCTGAATCAATAAATATGATGCAGACGTATACTTTTTGATTTATAAGAATAGTCATATTCATATCGAAGATTATCTAATCTGAATCGACTGACAAAGAAAATAACGTGTGATAAAGATCAAACGCCAACTGGTTGAGCGGATACGAGGAAAATTCGCGAAACGTAACGGAAAAACTTGACTTACCCGGCGCGAAAGGACGCTGCAGCGGCGGCGGCGGCGGTAAGTGTCAGTTGTTGTGCGGCTGCAGCTGCACCGGCGGCGGCCGGATCGGTCGCGACGAGCTCCTGCAGCACAAGAACCGTCGTCGTGGTTGTCGCGGCGCCGCCATTCGGCACGGTCGCGTTGACGGCATGGCGCACCGTCGACGGCAGATCGTCCTCGTGTTGCAGCTGCAGCTGCGGATAGTGGTGCAGATGCAGGGCAGTAGCGGCGGCGGACGTGGCAGCGGCGGACCTCGGTGTGACGCAGGACGGCGGCAACAGACCTGTCGTCCTCGTGACACCGGCCGATGGTGGCGATGGTGACGGCGGCGATGGCGGTGGTGGCGGGTATTCGACCACCTGCACGCGGTCCGCGTGCTCATTTTCGTAAATGATCTCTTTGTCGTGAGTATACATGACTGTTTTTTGCCCGTCGTTATAGATCAGGTCGATCATCTTGTGCTCGCCGACGCCAAGCGTTGTGTTGCCCGCTGCGGCGGCGGCCACCTCGGTGCCAGGCGACACGCGGCCGTCAGAGTCGTCCGCAGCTGCGGCGCGCTGCTGCACGTCTTCCGAATCGTTGCCCTGGATGTGTTGCTGTTGTTGGTGATGATGATGATGGTGATGGTGATGATGACGATGATGGTGATGGTGGTACTTGGGATGGAGCGTATGTACGACCGGCGGTTCGTGCAGATCGAGCACGTTCACCGGTTGCATGGTCGCTAGCAAGACTTGCTCGTTTTCGTTTTGATTTTGGTTGCTCAGAGAGGAGGACGCTGGTGAGACTGGTGCCTCCTGCACCTGTAATGTAGATAGGTAGGGTCATGCAGTATGTATCGCAACAACTGCAATATCGCCATTTTTATTTGTCGAATAGATTTTTGGTATCGCGATTGTTAATCGAGATATTCCAATGTACTGCGTACTACAGTGATCGTATATAATTATATATATAACAATTTCGCTATCATACTAGATGTATTTATAGCATCATTTTTTATCACGCCGGATTAAAGTGGAAGAAACGAACGCCATTGTGAAATTATCTCTTATAATCGAGCGAAGGTATTGTGATTGCATTTCATCGAATATTAACGAGATACCTTGATCTTTGCGTACACAATGTTCTGATCGCGCTCCGTTTTTTTCTTCCTACCGAAACGGCGCGTTCGCCGTCGGTCGCCGCCCATGTGCACATGCAGGTCTGAATTAAATCATTTACAATGATAACGAAGTTAAAACACAGCGCGCAGCTGGCGTTAATTTATTAATCGCATTAACTGGCGCGCGGTTTACGACATTGGGATTTATACGCCCGAGCGAACTCCCGGCGTCCCGGGCAACGCCGTATGTATGTTGCAATAACCTATAACATTTTCGAATGCTAATAACTGTGTGCGCGATAGAAATTATATTAATATCTTCTCGCGCGGTCCGAAGCACGAGGCATTTCGTACCACCAGGCATCCTTTCGTCGTAATTAATCGCTCATATGTTCATTGCTTGTAACACGCATCAAGAAATTCTTTCAGAGTATTCAAAGATCAAACGATCATTAGCGTGATCTATTATAGGTCTATTCGCGACTCATCGTGTGACGATCGCGAGGCTATTGGTCATTTTTGTCGCGAAATTCAGGAAGGATTGCCTCAGCTTTCATTTCTGAAAAGCCGGTGATTTATTTTCGCGCGACATCGTCGGCATTAATTAATTGTTTTCATTAGCGTTTTATTTGCTATGATTTATATTGTCCTCCCCCTCCAAAGATTACGTGATACATTTTCACATCGGGAAATAATGACATTAGATAATTTCATTTTCTTCTTCTGTGAAGGAAAATATTCAACGTATTTATTTCGCGAAGATGATAACATGAGATAAGATTTCAACTTTTGAGATTATTTTCTCCATCGTTGATGGATGTCTGACAAAATTGCAAAATTATTCATGAGACAATCTTTACGAATTAAAAGAGATTTTAAAGATTGAGTATCGCGCGAAGGGAAGTCTTTTGAGATTTTACTGAAAATATATTACGCGTAAAACAGATATCCTACGTAAGTATACTTAATGGTCAGTTAAACGATGACGGTCGCATTACTGATGCACTTATATCCTAGTATTCCCGAAGTTGGCGCTCATGGAAACCCCTGTGACCCGCATGAATAAGAATACGGTACAGTAATGACGTCGTTTGGAATTTCCCACGTGTCGCCGGATTATCGTGCTTTCTAGCCGGTAAGTTATGACGCGAAATCTCTCTCTTTCCTTCTCTTTCTCCTCTCCTTTTTTTTAATCTTTTTTTCCTGGCAAAACCTTCGAGACCTCGAGAGTTGCCCGATGCCACACAGTCACCGTGGCATCATTCGTAACGTGACAGCAAAGCGACGTGGCAGTGCTATTAAGGCCCGTGCATATTGCAGCAGCCCGTAGCCGCAGCGATGGGTTCCGTCAATTAACATAATTAACAATATTATGAATCATCCTCTTAGTGCTCAGGCGCCTCGCGCGTGGTGCTGTACGTGAATTACTCACGCCGTTAGCCTAAGCGCAAAAATTTATTCTTTTTCTCTCTTTCTCTGTCTCCTCGTCTCTTAGGAAAGTATCCTTTTTTCTCCTTTATTCATTTTCTACGATGCGCAGGACTTAATCCTAAGTGTCACCGGTTCTTATATTTTCTCGCGTTGATCGTCGTAAATTCACCCGCTGATGAATAATCACGATTCTACGATTAAACGCAGGGATTAGCGCGATGAAATACGGTCGGTAGGTACGGGTAAAATTGTTAATGGACAAACGCGAGCCTCTGAATAGACCACACGTGTCTCCATGAGCTAAGGTAACAATGTTTATTTCACGATTATGACTTTCTGGCATATATGCCTGACAAACTTATTATTAATAACATCGTAATTTCACGCCTTTTGCATGCTTTTTACATAGTATAATTTTATTTTCGGAGGCCTCTCTTCTACGTTATTTGAATCATTTCTCTGTATATATGTATATAATATATAATTCTAAATTAAACACGTTGTATTAATGTTAATTCCGATTACGTAGGTAATATCATTACAGATGTTGTATAAATATTTTGTATCTTTGGCATTAATACCAACAGATACATGAAAAGAAAAATTTTATTGAAATATTACAAGATTTAATTAGATACAGATCAGAAAATATTTTTGTCGGGCATCAAAATAATTATGAAACTTAACATGATGAGCAATGTTGCAAAAAATTGTGATATTCTAGCAACTAGCTTGTGCTTCCTGCTTATTTTGCTAATTCAACAAAATTATTTTCAGGTGTGTATCAAACTAATTAAATTTTTAGATATTTTAACAAACCGGATATGCACTTTTATTTTTTACATATATAGATAGCTAATATTAAACAGGGAACGTATGTATGACCACTTTATGTTTTATTAATAGCTAATTCTTTTCAAAATACTGACGTTATGTTAAAATCATGCAGAAACGCGAGGAATTCGTACATAACTCAATTTTATTTTCATCTTTTACTGTGCCAGTAAATTTTTTATAGCTTTTCCAATCATAGCTCATAGATATCAGGTATTGTGTCGTGAACGTCTAGTAGACGAAACGGTCCTGATGTAACGGTAATCGCACGGATATTATAAAAACGTCATATCGCCGCAAGCGGTTTTGCGGTTTCGCGAATTTCGACTGCTGCAACGCGCATTTCCTCGTAATTCCCCGATGTCGTTAGGAATCTCCGCAGATTCATTACCTAAAGTCGTCGAGCTACTGAGGTACTGTATCCTTGACATCGTACCGCCGCGACACGCTTCATCGACGGTGTCAGGGGTCCCAGATACGCCGGCTGGAGACATTAATCAGCCCGACCCGCGGTGAGTCGCGACCGCGACATGAACCTCCCGCAGTCGTTACACGACGTTAAGTACTCTGCAATACGAATACCCGGCCGTGTACCGACTTCATTCGAAATCTAATCCCATGTCAGTTGATGAAATTTATCGCGCTCGCACGGTCAGAATCGAACATAGCCGTTCAATGGTGATCCGCAGGAATCGCGTATGGATTCATTCGTTTTTCATACGAATAACTGACAACGGGGATGTAAATGGCAGTGAGTGATCAGCGTAAAAGTATCTTTTATGATCCCACTGTTATTCCGCGGTAGATTATCTCCTATCGACTAACGTTTAATCTGTTACAAAAATCCATTGATCTAATCTGCATCTTGTAGCATGTAAATTAAAATAATCCATTAAAGACGATTTATTTGTTTTAGACAATATTATTAATCTTTAACCTGGAATAGCTACCTGTAAGTAAAATATATTTAAAAATTCTTCTGTGAGAAATGTATTTATTTCATTTTGAAATAAATCTTTATTTAAATACGATGAAATAAAATTTTATTTTTAGCAAATAAGCTATTTTATTTTTTTACAATTAATGAGATATATTTCACAGAAATATGTATTATCATCAAAATCAAATTTTTTTGTAACTAATAAATATCGGAAAAACATCGTAAATGACATTTGTTTTGCAATACTTTGATATTTTTTTCTCAGTATGAAGTATTTTACGCCAGCGCAGCGGCGAAAAAATGTGAATTGTTATAAAATATTATTTTTTTTAACATATTTGATTTTCTTTTTAATAACTTTTTTTAATAATTTTTTTTAATAATTTACTTATGAATCTTTAAATATACAATTCTATCAAAAACTCGTAATAAAAAAGCGTTATAAATTAAAATCTTAATTTTTTCAAAGTACTGTCATAATAAGTCTACGTGCTTACACTGAGAAAAAGATACTTAAAAATTTATTTGTGGGAAATATGTTTATTTCACTGAAATATATTTTTATATTTAAATACGGCGAAAAAAAATTTTATATCCCAAATAAGTCATCTATTTAATTTTTTTTTACAATTAATGGAGTATATTTTGTAGAAATATATATTTTTTTTTGTTATCGATTAAATTTTTTCGTAACTAATAATTATCGAAGAAAACATCGTAAGATTTGTTTTGCAATATTTTAGCATTTTTCTCTCAGTGTATTTCATTTTAATATTTGTTTTATATTTACTTTTTTCAGAAAATTATGATTAAATCCATATCCATAATGTTTCCAAATATTAATAAATCGAAATAATAAATCATTAATATAATATATTATTAATAATGATGATTTTAATTGTGAAAACACAATTTAAGTGATCCTATAAATGAAAAGAATTAGAATAATTTCCGGATTAAGTAGATAGGTGGTAAGTTATATTTAAGTTTTTATATATAGGATATTTAGAATACCCAAAAAAAATTAATTTTTTGAGTTTTTTGGTTTTTTTAATGGTTATTTTATTTTTAATTTATATTTATTTTATTTAATAGTTATTATTTTTTTACTAGTATATTATTTACTAATATAGTTAAATTTCTTAGTTATCTTTCATGAGAGATAGAGGAATGTAAAAATAATAAACTTATTTATTTCTAGGCATCTGATCGATACTTTTTGTTTTCCTCTCCTAGAATAAGATTAAAAAAAATTGCACCTAATGATGCCTCATCTATTAGCTTAAAAGCAATCTAATCCGGTGAGTCCAACAATAAATCTGAATTTATTGAACTGTTTGCTACATGTCAAAACGTGGAAAAACAGCTTTTATAGCTTTTACAAATTTTTACGGTTATGTTATCCATTCAAGACTCATCCTTTAATAACATGAAAAACACTATCGTTAAATTTATTTCACAGAAATAAGGACAACCTCACGTATCCTCAAAGACATTCTCACGTATCGTTCGAACGTTGTCAAATCGCGATAAAACTTCTGAAACAAGACGAACGATCGCGATTTCGCGAATAGCTCGAAATGATTACCGTGAATCCTACGGATTGTTGTCGCGCTGCAGCTCGTTTAGAATGCTGCGCGTCCTCTTTACACGCAAGAAGTTCTTCATAATAACAGTTAATTGGCCGGTTGGTCTGTGCTCGTAAGAGTTCGTGCCGGACAGTAGTCCAACGTGTCTGTCGGTCGAATGGTCCATCCATCCATGGCTAAAACTCGCGGGTATTCGAACATCTCTCTCGTTTCTTACTCGTTTGTCGCCGTAGGCTGCGAATCGCGCGCGTACATCCCCCTTGCAACGTGCAGTTATTGCCGATCGCGACGCAGTACACAGCTGCGTGCAACGCGGATGTAGATACGTGGAATCGTTAGATGCTTTTCTTTCGCGGTACTGTATCTTAAGGGTACGATCCTCGTCCGTTTGCCGTAACAGTCGGAATATTCTCGCGATTCGCTTTTTATTATCGTAAACATTATCGCTCGTATTACCTCTAGCGAGGATTGCTGGTGTCTATTAGTCTTCGACTTGTAAAGGAAGCCACGATTTCATTAACCGTTAACTGAATTAACAAGTAAATGAAACTTGAAATCGGAATAAATTAAAAATCTAATAATCTCTAAGATATTTTCCTTCCTTAAACGATAAATGTAAGTTAGGAATTTTGAGCCTTGAGCTGTAAATTATGTACTATCTTTTTATATACTATCATGCATCTAAATAAAGGCTCGTAAAGCAACTTTTTTTTCGCTTTATGTGGTTAATGCTCTTAATCGTAAGAAATGTTAGTCTTAACTTGAATGCGTTAGTCTTAACTTAATTGCAGCAAAAATTGCAACGATTGTGTGATTCCAGTGAAATTTTTTTTGCATCACTGTTCATCGAATATTTAATATAGCTTGTTTATATGTATTGCCTTCAATAATCGCGCAATGACGCAGCTCGAATAACATTATCGAATAACCGCAGCTAAGTAGATATTAAGTATTTTGTAACTTCTGATACAAAATGTGAACTTTTGATTAAAATCTGATTTAAATTTATTAATCTTGCACTCACATCGAACGGCTTATTTAATTAACGTCATCGTTGATTATCGCTTATCATCCACTCATCAAGCTCTCCCCTTTTTGCCGCGAGTTTGTTTCGTAAGTAAAATATTTTGGCGTCGCGCCAACATGCATGCTTATTTTCGATACATTTTTCTTACCCGCTTTCAATCTCGTTTTTGTAGTCGGTATGAGTCATTTGAATCAAGAAAAGATTTGCGTGCACGAATTACAGGGACTCGCCTTATCTTTTTTTTTTCTTTTACCTACCGCCCAATAATGAAACGGTTAACGAAAAAGTTAATGAAGATACAAAATGACCAGTCGCTCGGAATTCTATTAAAGAGCCTTTACTTCTTATCTCCATAATGAACGGTGCGATCATCGACGAAGGTTCCCTTCGTTTGACCATCAGGTACGAGAAATCTGAAGAGTCATCACCGCGCACAGCGAATCTCTTCGTTCAGTCCTGTCCACAGGTAGATAGGTGGATCCCTTTCGTATATACGAAGAGACGGATGAACGATTAACGTATCGTTCGTTTCTACATCTCAGAATGTCGAAGTCTCGTAAGGACATCAACGTGTACACGTTTACTAATGAAAACCAGACGCGACCATCCACGTTCCGATGAAGAAGCGCACGGGTGTTCTCTTTCTCGATCCGGAAGCGCGATAATATTTACACGGCTACTTGAACACCCGGTATGCACCGCGATGCTTGTCATAAATGGATTTAACCGCGTATTAAAAGGCGCCAGACGCAGGTGCGAAACGAGTCCTTATTTTCGTCTTTTCATAAGATTTATGCACGCGTGTTTGCACGCAACGCTTAAGCAGAGTAAAATGCAAATGACTTTTTTTTATTAGTCTTTGTTACAATGTTCATCGATGGTATTTTAAATAAAATCACCTCGTAATTTTTCTCACTTAAAATTTTTCCTCGCTTGAACGTTTAATCTTATTGCAAAATATTTTCGGATTTTTTAATATTGCGCTACTTATATTCATATAATAATGATAATTATGTTGATCTGTAATTATGATGTTATTACAGTGAAGGAGAAAAAAAAATTAAAAAGTTTCGTTTCCTTCATTAATTTTTAAGTTGTCGTGTTGTTGATCGTTGCCTTTATATTCTTTTTATTGTCAAATAAAATAAGAAGATAAGACGCTCTTTGATCTTGAAATATTCAATCCATTTTATAGAGGTCACGAATCGCGCGCAGTAGGCAAAATGGCATCCATAATAAGCCCGAGGGGATTTATCCATAAACCGTCGAGCTATTAATGTTCTTGGAGAATGGCTTACGCGCCATACTCATGTTTCTCATTGCAGAACATCGTATCGCGAGTAACGGGGCTGATCAATGTATTTCACTTTCGAGCAACGAGGCTCTTTGAAGCTACAAAAATTCGAAGCTACCCGCGGTGATTTGAATTAAATTTTCATGAAAGCACAAATATTTCTTTACTCTTGAATATTGCCTTATTATTACATCGGAAATGAGTTTAGTGAATATCACAATTGAAAGTAAAATTTCTTGAAACAATTGTTCAATAGATTTCTATGTGAAAAAATTGAAATATAAAAAATTTCGATTATTAATGAAACGTTAGATATAACAAAAATTTCCGCCATTAAAATAAATAAAGTGAATAATAAAATATAAATATTTTAGCGCATTCGATTTGGTAGAATTTCTTCTTTTTTAAAAGAAAAATTTTTTAAACTCTGAACTATCGTAGTTTTATAAAACTGATTCTTTCCCAGGTAGCAAACTGACGTTATTTGCCATAAATGACACTATAAAGATGTCATTTTGACGACAAAACATAAATAACGTCAGCTTGCTATCTTTGAGCTATATTATTTTCAAGGTTCATTATTTTCAAGGATTTTGCCTCTTTTACCATCAAAATTGAAAATTCATAAATGGTTTATCATTTAACATTAATAAGACTTGACAGATTATATTTTTGTGTACGCACAGACTTGTAACTTATTTTAAAATCTTGGCATCTCAGAAATGTTCCAGAAATTCTCTTCATGACCAGTAATAATACTTCGGTCCATCCTCATTATTTTGCGCTATGGGTGGTTGAGTAAATGGAGAAAGGTGATATGAGTGAATGAACAATAAAAAGAAGAAGGAAAGAGGTAGATAATTTACATAAACGATAATCTATGTGGATTATATTATGTAAATGTTTTAGCTTAGAAATGTTATTATATTCCTTGAGTTTGCGTAATATAGAAATAAACAATCATTATATATTCTTCGAATTCTTTTAAAAGCACGTTGGAATAGAGATAGAGAGTTTACAATATAATTAAATAAACTAAATATTAGGAGATAGAAACTTTAATTATTCGTTCATCATTTGCATCACAAAAATAAAATGTTTGTATTAAGCTTATTCTGTTGTTTTAAGGAAATGTAGTTTTCACAAGATAATTCAATTTAATAGTAGTCATGCAAAAATATGCGGCATTAGATTTTATTATTCGAAAATATGAGAGTTGGTAACTAACCGGAGACAAAGTGCAGGGTGCATTATCGGCCTCATCGGTGCACGTCGACATTCTCCGGCGCCGTCTTCCGTTTCTTTTTTCTCTTCTCGTACTATAATCTTCTAAAATCCTTGTGCTTAAAATGCTTAAATGCTTGTTCTGATCGGCTAAATTATCGTTGTCTTTAGGAATTGCAATTTTCTTTTGACGACGAAACCTTCAGCCTGATCTAGTCTTCGACTAGATGTCTACGTCTATGTAAATTAGTCATCGAGTATTATATCACAGGTTGCTGAGGGTTGTATGGCACGTTGTTTGAAGAAAAGCGGGCGATAAAAATCTGTAAGAAATACAAAGGAAAAAAGATGCTTAGAAGATAAAATTATTATCAACATTGTTATCTTCAGCATTAAAATAATTTATAGCTATTGATGACTTCTTACAAATACATTTTATCTATTCACTGTATTATAAGTAATCTAATCTAACGCATATTTAACGACTATATATATTTAACGAAAAACAAGATGAACCGGCAACCAGCGATTATCAGGGAAATGCAAATAGGTAATCCCATGTTTTCTCCGCATAACAAGTGGATGCCGGAACTAGAGAATCCACGTCTCGTTTCGCCACGTGGCCCGCGGGAGGAGGAGAAGCTTGACGCACGCGGGATGCGTACTCCCGCGATTGGGAAACCGGAACCTGAGCGCGTGAGCGAGCAGGTTCGGCGTTATTCACTTATCGCCGGGCAAGGATCCGCGCGGATGTCGGTCAACCAGTCTGACACCGCGAATTCTACATCCTCGCGCGCGGTCTTGTCCAGGTGGATGGTTAGCAAAACCAGTCGGTTTGCTCTTCTCTCCGACTCGTTCATCTGCTCCTACTACTACGGCGGAGTAGGCGCGTGTGAGCGCGCGCGTGGAGGAGGGCGCGCGCGTAAAACTGGAATTCAGCTCGCGGGCACCGTTCTGACGGATAGACAGGTATAATAATAGATGTAACGAGGAAGCCGGACCATCGAGAGTGAACACACGGGACGGTGCCGGTTCTCAGTATCTTTCTCTTTCCTCTTTTCTGTCTCTTTCTCTTTCTTAGACTGCGCGTCGTCAATAATGGAGACGTGGTGATGTTCGCGAGGAAGGAACAAGACTGGTTGTTAGAAAGAAAAAGAGAGAGAGAGACCAAGAGAAACAGAGATAAATCGAAGAGGGTGGCGGCGGAAAGTAGGTAGGTAGGTAGGTATCTACCTACTACGCGGAAGAAGGAGATTGGGGCGACCCAGGGAGAAGGAGTAGGTATGTACTGGGCCGGTATACAACCGCGAACCGGAGACGAGAAGCCAGAGAAGCAGGTTCAGAGGAGCCGGTCTAACCTGATTCTCAAAGGGAACCCTGCATCAGATTGGACCCACCACCGTGGGTCCGTTTGTATTTCAAGTACCTGTACGCCCTCGCTTCGCGTCAGTGGACGATACCTCTGGAGAACGGAGGACTCCGTCGAGTCGTACAAAGAGGAGGAAGCGTCTTCTTCCGTCAACGCGTCGCGCGAAGGCGATGTGTCTATCAGCGATCAGACGCCTTGATCGTGCGTTACACCTGCCGCCGATATAGATTCTAGACCTATCATCGCGCCGGTGTGCATCGCGGTGTTGCAATCGTGCCGACCGCGATTTGGTCGGTTAGAATCCATGGCATGCAGCTGTAACGGCGGAATTGCCGTTAAGTGTATCGAAAGTGAATTTCTAGAGATCTAGTGAGAGTTCCAGGTGATTCCCTTTGAGTACGGATGACGTCAGAATATGTTTATAATTTCTTAATGGTGTTCACTTAGATGTTGACCGTGACAAAGAGGCGCGATTTTTTTTCTCCAGCTTGCATCTATCACATAAAGTTGATTTTTGTATAGATAATACTACGTGCCACAAATACTTTTTCTCCGGCTTTATTAATCGTATCTATTTTTTTTTTTTAATGTGAGTGATGCTCTCGGATCCGTGGTTTTTTTACGCGGCATAAACGATTGTTAAGATTAACGACATTTAAGTTTTTATATCTATTTTATTGAATTGCCATAGTCTGATAACTTAAACTATTATAATACTCTTGTATTTGCAGACTATCTTTTTGTAGCTCGATTTAAAATACAATTAAATTATTGATTTAAGATCCTTGTAATGATGTAACATTTCTCATTCGCGCTTTTTGTTAATTAATTAAGGATTACAATTCTAATTAAATCCGAATTATGTTGACTCTGGATTTTTTTTCGTTAAGTTTCTTGAGTAGAACTTAACGTAACACTAAAGCATATTTCTTTGTCTGTGATATATCGTGCAGCTTTTTTCATGCTCGAGCGAGAATGATGGTCTATTATTGGTCTATTATTTGCTCGTTTTGTACCTTTGTACCTTTTTCATCGACTTTGACCTCCGCATTCAATGCAAAAAAATAAAATTTATAGATTTTAAATAACCGAAAAATTTTTAGATTTTCTTCTAATATTCAAAGCTTCAATTCATACCTAAAATTCTCGTAATATTTTTAACCTTAGTAAGTTTTAGTAAATCGATTAGAATATCTTTGAGAAAAAAAGTAATGCGACAACAATTCTTTAAATATTTATGCATTGTGTATGTGTCACAGTCAAAGTGTTGTGAATATGTGAGTATGTTTATATTTTTATATTTTCCGTTAATTCTAACTATTAGTTTAAATTATTAATTTTGACTATTAATTTACACTTAAATTTGAGTACATGAAGTAAAACGGAGTTGTATTATTGTAAAAATCATTTGTCTCTGTAAATCTTTCTACTTATACAAAACTAGCATAGCTATATGTAATTCTATAAGTGTAGTTATATATATATTTTTACATTTTATGAAATATCTCAAATAAAGAGAGTTTATCCGTCCAAATTGTTACTATCTGATATCGTGTATTACATATTATAAAAGGTAACCATACGTTAAAGTGTTGATAAGCGACAAAGAAGTCAAAAAGAAAATACGAAGCATTTTGCCGGCAGAATATCGTGCGGTAATCTCATGGTCTACAATTCTTCGTGTCCACTTGTTCACCGGTAGGTCACCTGCACGTCACCTGTGCGTCATCGCGCAGGTAGCCTCCAGCTATTGACAAAGATGCGCGCGCTATAGTAAGGCCTAGACTATAATAAAATAAAACTGATGACGATGTGAAGATAATACTCACTCATTAGGATCGTATTAAAAGGGAGGGAGGAGTGTCGTCGAGCGGTAGAGTAGCCGGCGTATTCGCGAGAGAAGCTGCTGATCCGGTGGTTGCTTTACCGGTGAAGTGGATTATCACACGTGCATGTATACAAGGGGAGAGGGGAAGGTAGAGTAGGTGGTAGAAGTCACGAGGGGGCTAGTGGGGTAATAGGGTGATAGAGGGGGGAGATGGGGACCAACTACAAACTACTAAGTGTCCCTCCTATGTTCTGGATCACATCTCAATGGATGATAGTGTCACCACCTTCTCCATAGACCGAGGCGTCTGTCGTCTTGACGAATTCGCTAACGTGGGGCTACTCTTCTTTTCAGGGCACCCTTCTTCGGGGGCCCGCAGTTGTCCGCTTGGTTGACTCTCGTTTTTGACCGGTGAAGCTGTTGGTTATTCTGCGAAATATTTCGGTAAGAAACTCTTCTTTGATCGCGTCGACTGTTCACCTGATGTCACTATCGCGATTCACTACGCGCACATTATTACGTTAACATTTCTCCGAGTCTCAAGTGTCACATTCGGTCGTTCCGTACTCGTTTCGATATTTTTAGCGTACCGCTAAAAATCGATAATCCACAAATTTGTGCGTTAGTATCCTATGGGACTTGTCCGTATCCTGTTTGTACTTTCAATCGCATAATCGCGCACCGGCTTGACACACACTCGCACGTTCACGCGCGCGACAACGACGACCGTCGCATACAATCACTGAGAAACTTGAAAACTTAGAAACCGAACTGAACTATACGAAAGATTTTGAAATTTAAACGTTTTTAATAAAAAAGACTAGGACTCACTAACTTTGCCTGAAGCAACAAACAGTATTTTAACCGTTAAAACCTTGGGTTGGACCACTAAACCCAGCAGCTTCACGGTGCTCTCTCGGATCGTTCTTTCGCCTCTCGAGATCAGCAATATGGCCGTCGCCGCTGCCGCCTCCCAGCATCACGCTGTTAGCTCCGTGCTTCGAATTCCCCCCCTCCCTTTCATTCGCGTCTCACACACGATCGCGCGTCTCTCTATCGCCTGCCCTCCCCTCTTTGTCTCTTTCTCTCTCCCACTCGTCCCCATTCGCATGTTTTCCGTCTACGGTCTCTCCATCCTCCCTCGCTCCAGAACCTCGTCCTCTCCTCACTCTCGCTCTTGCGTTTACCTGCGCATAACGCCTTCCCTTAGAGACTATCTCCCTTCGGCGTTTGCGTTTTTTTCTTTCTCTTTCTCTTTCTTCCGTTTCTTCGCCCTCCCACCTTCTGATGGAGAAAGACAGAAAAGATGAAGAGAATGGTAGAAGACCCTCAAGCTCCTCTGGCGAACCATCGTTCCTCTCTTTCTTTCTTTTCAAGTGTTCTCCCAAGGAAGACGGTGAGAGTGGTCGGCTGTGAGACGATCGGCAAAGTGCAAGTGGATAAGAGACACTGTTGAGAGAGAGAAAGAGGGGGAAGGAAAAAGAGAGACAGATGAATATTATAGGTACAGGTAGGAGGCTAGTGGGGTTGGTGTGCAGGTAGCCAGCATGACAAGGACAGTCTTGTAGCTCTCGCAGATGAGTGCGACCAGGATGGAACTATCTCTCCGCGACGTGTTACACAGATACAAACAGAACATCGAATCATCAACAAGGCGGGATCCTGACCACCCGGCATTATCGTGTTTCTGTAATCGTCTCTCTCTCTAACATACTACTTCTTTATCTTCTCCTCTTCGTTCAGTTACCTGCCGAGAGGGATATCCGACGAGAATTGCCGTGGGAGGAACGAAGATGATCGAGGTGTACGCACACGTGCATCATCACGTCTCTCCGTCCAATTTCACCGTC